TCATAAATATTTCTTCTTTTAATAATGCCCACTCCCCTACATCGTCTAGCTTTCTTGGTACTTCTTTGCAGCTTACTTATATGTATGACGATACAAACCAAATATTTTCTACTATTTATCAGGAATATTCTTACATATTTTCGTACTCGTTTACACTGTATGGAATATGTACTTAAAGTAAATCTAGCAACAAATAATCACTTCTATTCTAAAAACTACTTGATCAACACCATATTATTTTCACTTCAGGATTGTATTTTACCCAGGAAAACATGGCACTTCGCCAGCAGTGGTTTCCCCAAAATCTACATAGCTGCTCTAAGACTTTATCACCTACCTATATACTTATTGGCTGCCCATATACACATGGACATTAAAAAAATACATATTTAATCTAGCCCTCAATCGCTAAGAAAAAGCTACGACATTTAATAATAATAATAATAATAATAATAATAATAATAATAATAATAATAAATTCAGAAAACAGAATTTATTCTAACCCTCAATTGTTAAGAAAGCAACTCCAAATAGCCTACTTTACACTGCTGACGGGGAGGACCCTAACCCCACGTCCAACGCTACTTGACCTAGTTTAACACTTATGTTCCAGTACTGTAACGCAATGTCCTAGCAGTTAGCACTCTACATGTAACATAGAGCTTGGATAATTGCAATGTAATTTAAATCATTATAGAACATATCTCACTTTTAGCTCACGGCTAAGTTTAATACTAATATGGCACCAATATGGGACTTCAGCCCACTTCCTGGGACTAGCAAAGCTCCAATAGTTCCTCTAGATATAACGAAGCCCCGGAACAAAGTTCAAACATTTTTTTTTTTACAGTATTATAACCCTACCTCGCAATTCAGAGCTAATAGATAGATTTTTACACCGTGAATTGGAGGTACGTTTTGTTGCGGAGTTGCTCCAAACCTCAGCTGTTCAACCGTGAACCACATTCCCAGCAAACCCCCCCCCCCCCCTCACCAAACTACCAATTTTAACTACAACATTATATACCTTATCAAGCTTCTTTGGATTATAAAATATAGTTGATCTCTATAAAATATCATACCTCTACTACTGCTACTATCACCTTATTCTAACAACTGGGAACAGGGTTGCCATGGTAACACTTCATCTACAAGTCAGTGTAATCATCACAGCGTGTTTGGCAGTGGTTACCATGGTAATAATAGTTAAAATCAACAAAGCACTTCAAAAGGTGCGTTCAGACACGGACATAAACTTGGATCGGGTTAGATTTAACACTGCATTCAGATTCAAGCATCTTGCCAGCTGGATCGTTCCAACTCTTCGCAGGATTCTCCCTAATGTGTATTCAGTGTAATTAACCTAATTGTCTTACACGTTTCCTCCAGTAGCTAGTTAGTCAGATAATTACCCCCTAGCAACTTGAGGAGGTGTGGCAGACATTTCAGCCATATACAGTAATTGCACTTAGGGAGAATCTCTCTCAGAATTGGATTGATCCAGCTAGTACGATGGGTTTATCTGAACGCTCCCTAAGTGACCTCACTGTAGATACCCCCCCACCCCCAACACTGCTACATTCAGCAGGGAGAGGGTGTTCTCATAACAACAGGTAATAAATAACTGGCTAACAAGTCTGCTGTTTCTTACACAAAACCTTCCTTCTTAATGTCAAGACTGATTTTGGGGATGAAGTTATTTTGTGAAAATAAAAGACCCATGATAGCATTTAACTAAATAGCATTTTTTAAAACTTAATTTATATTTCTTGGCATGCTTGGAACACATTTCCTGCACATGCCAGTGATTCTTTATGAAAAAATAGCAACTTAAACATACAGTACATGTCATACCCACTGAGGTGTGACTGAAAAAACGGAACGTAAATTTTTACCAATCTGTTTAACCTTCCTATAATCTTAGACCCCATTCTCATACCATGCTTTTCGCTTACGTCCTACATAAGAGCTTAAGTTCTCCTATGAACCGGACCTCAAAAAGATGGGACAATGACACTGTTTTCTCTTTTATGATTCTATCAGTTATATCTGTGGTAAGTAAGGCCTACGCAACAAAACCAGTTGTAAAACATAAGACCTGCCAGCTTAAGTAGCAGATAACATACCAAGTACACACATTTACTGATATTGGAATGGTAGCTGAAAATCATATCATAATTAAGTATAAATTAGTGACATATAAGTACTGATAGCAAAAGTCATACATTTGACCCTACACTAAAACTTGTATATGAAAACGTTTACATGTCGCTGAAGTACATAAGTCACTAGTATGACAAAATTTTAATTAAATGTTATTGCCAGTTAAAACGGATGTCAGATACTGATTAGAGAACCATAAAATTATTCTTAATGTGAAGAAACACATTATTTTTATCTCGGCCATAATATAAATTTACTTAAGGTTCTACATCCTATTTCACTGGTATTTCTTCGGTCAGGCATCTAAGCACCATTTTCATAAATAAATGGAAATTTTAACTGTATTTTCTTGAAGATTTCTACTCTAGACTGGATTTCATCAATTAGCTTTATCAGCCAGATGTATAAATGTTTCTTTATATTTCTATAATTCCTGATATAAATCACTGAAAAGACATTGTTCTACTATATCTTTTACAAATCTTGATACAAAATCTTGATTAAAGAGGACATATTGAGCAGTAATATAGTCCTTGTTAACATACAAATGACGTCCACATTATAGCTCTAAGTACAGAATGATCTTTGGTCTGTTTCTCAAGTTGAATCAAAATCACTTTCACTTTACAAGAGAAGTGTTTGTTTACTTATCATTCATGTATCACCAAGATATCATGGTATCACCACCAATCATTTCAATAACTAGACACTCAAGCTGCAGTTGGGGATACCTTTGACATTCTCCCTGCATCACCCTTGATAAAATGCATCAGAGAGGAGACTTTACTCAAAACCCACTTTCCAGACATCAACTTCAATTCACTGATAAGAAGTGCATTCCTTCATATGCATAATCATAGTCTATCTCCTGTGCATGACTAAAAGCACAATGTTTTACCTCTTGGTAGTGTGAAAGCAATCTATTCTAAAGGGCACCTTGAATGCATTGTTTTTCTTTTCCACTTCTCGTTACACGTAAAGTTGTATATGGAAATTCTTTTCCATTATATGCATTTTCTCTGTAAGAAAGTATTGATTCTTCCAGTATCTTTGTATTTCTTAATCTGTCCCTTCTCAGGAAGTACTATACTTCATGTATTATAAATGGTGGTCCAGTCAGTGAAATCCATCTAAAGTTCCCGTCCCACTTCCCATAGTTAAGTTTCTCACAATTTTTCACTGGAACCCTAAGACCTCTGCAACTAATATTTTCCAGGAAAAACAAACCCTGCTTGAGCATAACTGTCTCTTCATCTTCTTGACAGCATATTATCCAAATATGTCTCAAGGAAACCATTTAAGACCTGAACACCATCTTCCAAGTCCTGGAATCAAACCCAGCAAATTCTGTCTCTAATTTGACCCCAGATCTCTCGCTCCTCTTCCTGCACTAAAATCTTGAAAGCACTGTATATATCTACACTATGTATTTTCCCCCCTGTGCTATGAGCTGCCGTCTTTTCTCTTCCACAGCCACAGTTGGCGTATTTTATTACCGCATGGCTCCATCAGGATGGACTGACCGTCACCAGACAGCTCCATACATCTCTGGCTGTTCACATGCATCAGATGACCATCCTGGAAAATAACAGTGTGATATTGTGTTAGCTGTGACAATATTGTGTTAGATGTGACAATGTCATATTGAGTTAGATTTGGCAATATTGTGTTAGATGTGACAGTGTTATATTGAGTTAGATTTGGCAATATTGTGTTAGGTGTGACAATGTTATATTGAGTTAGATTTGGCAATATTGTGTTAGGTGTGACAATGTTATATTGAGTTAGATTTGGCAATATTGTGTTAGGTGTGACAATGTTATATTGAGTTAGATTTGGCAATATTGTGTTAGGTGTGACAATGTTATATTGAGTTAGATTTGGCAATATTGTGTTAGGTGTGACAATGTTATATTGAGTTAGATTTGGCAATATTGTGTTAGGTGTGACAATGTTATATTGAGTTAGATTTGGCAATATTGTGTTAGGTGTGACAATGTTATATTGAGTTAGATTTGGCAATATTGTGTTAGGTGTGACAATGTTANTGTGACAGTGTTTAAATATGTTAAGTGTGATAATGTAAAGAAATAATTATCCTAGGTGATTGTTTCTATAGACTAGTTAACCATCCTAACAGCTGGTTAATAAAACACTGTACATCTGACCCCCCCCCCCCCACACACACACACACACTCACACACACTCACTCTCCTCTCAGAAGTACTCAAATATACAACCCCTAGCTTACCTCTCTATATTCCAACAGCTGTTTTATAATCACCTTACAAACTCCCTCCACCCCCCCCCCCACCACACACAAACGCAGTACTCTCAAAAGTATTCAATTCCAACAGAGTTACTCAATTCCAACCCCTAACTTATGCACGCATGTGCACAAACACACACACACACACACACACAAATATATACTGTACACACACAAATGCACACATACACACAAATGCACACATACAGTACCATGAAAAATCCTCAATGCCAGTCTCCAGCTTACCGCTCTATACTCCCAGAACTGATTTCCTTTCTGGCCATGACATGTGTACATCTGAACCTGACCTTGACCTGTGAAGTCAAAACAGCCCTCGTCACGGCGGATCTCTCCGTTCTTACTTAACATCCAGTACTGCAAGGAAATAATAACAACAGACATGTAGGCATAATATCTGCTATATCAAAGTACAGGTATTTCATTAGAAAGTAATATAAATATTGATCCACAGCATATTTATATGACTGTCTGAACTTCATGGCACAGGAGTAGCCAGCAGTACTTTGAACTTAAAAGTGATGTGAGAAGTAATTACTCTGTTCAACACCTCCCACACCCAAAAGAACAAGTGCACGTAAAAACAAATACCTTGACTTCCTTCTTGGTAATGACATATTGAGTCTGGCCTACTGGTTGAAGTGTGACATTGTGTTAGGTGTGACAGTCAAATATTGTGTTAGTTGTGACATATTGTTATATTGTGTTAGTTGTGACAGTACCTGGTTTCATCCCTGGTTGTGACAAGGCCACATTGTGCTAGGTGTGACAGTCACATATTGTGTAAGTTGTGACAGTGTGTTAGTTGTGACAGTACCTGATTGCCTCCCTGGTTGTGACAAGGCCACATTTTGACAGGTTTGTTCATGGCGTTGTGGTCCACAGAGCTGTCAAGGCACTGAGATTGAGCTTGGTTACGAATCTGTGAACACACAAAAGAAAAAGATGAAATTCTGAACAATATCAGCATTAAAAAACTGTTGAATCTTTTTCAAGTATTCTGTTTCCTTTGAAATTCAAGAGTTCCAAATTTTAAATGCTGTATAATAAATCTGACAGGTGTGTATATGAATGTATTCTAATTTTTATCACATTTTCAACATCTCTTATTATCACAATGTATATTTAGATTCAAGAAACCTCTTCAAATGATCCAAAAATGAAATCTGGGAAGACAAAGCACAACAAAATTAATTTTAGTAAAATGCTGTCTGTGGAGCTTGTGGATTTAAGCACTTCTAAATGTGTGTGTGTGTGTGTGTGTGTGTGTGTGTGTGTGTGTGCACATGTGCCCACATGACAATCTTACCTCCCCACTGGCAACAGCTTCACCAGGGATAAAAAGATCTGGGAAGATGTTCTTGACGTACCAGTCAAATGATTTACACTGAAGACGCTTTCTGAGCTCTTTCCTGGACGTCACATCTCCATAGTCTCCCTGAAATGATGTAACTTTGAATTTTAAAATCATTATTTCTCCAGTTTCCCTTGGGATTTACAAAATTGTAGATTTTTTTTTTAAAGGAAATTTGAAAGAACGATAGTTAGACTTCTTAATTCATAGTATATCTGGTCATAACTTGGTTTTGAATGTTCCAATCTATTGAACAGACATTTTCACAAAAATGTTAGTATGTTATAACATTATTATGATAATGAGTAAAAATTGTTCCACTGTTCAAAGTTAAAATGGTGTAGATGTACCACCTTTTTTGGCTATTTGTAATTTATTTATAATTCTATTGGTAATTTTTTCCTGATATCTGAAAAACAATTCAACTTTATATGTCATATATAACAAAATTGAAAGACTTAAAATTGTAGCATTTCTTACCAGGACGTGATTAAACCTCTCATAGTAGTAGTTTTTATAGTCGTCCATCCAGACCTCAGCCAGGCGTATAGAGTTCTTCTTCACAACATTGACGCCTGGTTTCCACTTGTACGGGCTGCGTTTACGGAAGATGTGGCCCACGTGTGAGCACGGGACAATGTACAGCGTGCCACCGCACATCCAGATCTGAGAACATGAACACAGAAACTATAAGGGATGTCATAAAGGCCCGATTCAGAATATGGGACTAACTAGTCCAAATGTCAAATATGGCCGACCCACTTGAATACTTCCCCAATGGATATCTATTCTGTGTGTATTAGCGGATTAGACGACAATCTTTGTTTTGGGTTGCCATATTTGACCGTCGGACCAAAGAGTCCCCTATTCTGAATGGGGTCACACACACAGATTTTTAAGTGAAGAATGAACAACAATGTAGTTAGTGTCTCTTTAAATTGTCTGCAATACACAATTTACTTCTTGTGAAATTTTGGACAAACACCCTATCTCTCTCTCACTCACGCATCATTCTATCTCTTCTCCCCATGTTTAAACACATTCCTTCTCTCTCTCTCTCTCTCACACACCTTCTCTCTCTCTCTCTCTCTCTCTCTCTCTCTCTCTCTCACACACACACACACACACACATCGTACTATCTCACCCTAAATGACAGCTCCAGGTTTTCTCCACCCCAGATATCCATGCCAGGGTCGTATGTGCCCAGGAATTCAAAGTACTCCCTTGAGATAGAGAACAACCCCCCTGCCATGGTGGGTGACCTGGATGTAGAATAATAATAATCCTGCACGTATAATAATAATAATAATAATAATAATAATAATAATAATAATAATAATAATAATAATAATTATTATTATTATTATTATTATTATGGTGATGATGATAATAATAATAGAACTATATTAATCTATAGTTTAAAATCCATATAAAAATGTTCAGTTGACTTTACAGGGGTAAAATGAACAGAATAAGATGAATTAAGTCGATAAATAAATAGACAATTAAGATATTAAAATATAGTATTATGTTAATAAATATAAAGACAAAGTCAGCCATACCACATTATAACAGGGACTTGTCTGGTTTGAAGGTCATTTCTTTTAGTTAAAAGTAATTTCATTTATTTTACCAAAATTCTTCATTGATGTTACATTATTACTGCCAATGTGAGACTATTTCATTTATTATTATTATTATTATCAGTGGTATTTAAAGTTGGGTGAAAGTTGTAAAAATTGATTACTGGGAGTCAGGGTATGATCAAAAGGAAGACTGAAAACAATCAAATTGAAGACTGACAATCCAGCATAATCCTGAAAATTTCAAGCCATATACTATAAATATGCAGGCCCGTAGCCAGGGGGGGTTCGGGGGGTTCAAAAGAACCCCCCTTTTTGCTGGAAAAAGGTCCACTCGGGGTAAAATTTGACCTAGGTACATGGGGATTATATGGTAAAAGGTCCACTATTTCAGAAAAAAGAACCCCCCCTTTGAAATCGCTGGCTACGGCCCTGATATGCTAAAAGCTCCAGGGCTCCTCAATCTTGCAGATGGGCAACTTCCTCTGTGTAACTCTAGACACAACGCAGCACGCTGCTCACCTGATTGGATCAAAGGGCGTCTTCATACGCTTCCTCTCGTGGTCCGGTATAGGGTGCCAGTTGAACTGTAGATTCCAGTCAAAGCCCCCAATGCTGGTCCCCCGCGCACTGCTGAAGTCATACTTGAAGTTCTCGTCCTCGATGACATCTATGACAGGACACACCACGTTGGACTTGTTTTTTGCGATGACGTCAAGTAAAGGTTCTAACCAGCCTGGAAGATAATAGCTTAATGTAATTACCAACCAATTTGATCTTAATAAGTTATTCAGTGTAGGAGATATTGAGCAAAACTGTTCATTAGCTTGGTAGTTGGATTTTAAATGAAAAATTATCAAATACAAGCTGAAATACTTTCTACCTAGATGTAGGCCTTCATCAGACTGATGTGAATAGATGCTGACACTCACTGACCACTAGGTGGTATAGCGGCCAGGACCCTCTTATAAAAGTCAGGTACATCGATCTACCCCCCCCCTCTCCCATCCCTATCAAAGTAAAGTTTCTAAACACCATAGAAGAAAACCCCATAAGTAAGTTAGCAACCTAGAAGATAACACCTTGTATAATTCTAAGGTTTTTAGGATGGGTGGTAAATGTTTATGGGAAAAAGAAACATTGCCTCTAGTTTCTGTGATCTTTGTTTGTGCAGGAAAACTTCAATATTACACACTTGCATGCTGAAACAGCTTATGTGCATACAAGCCATCACGAAGACTATTTTCACCATGCCTCAACTTCATAAAAAGTACAAATGACAAATAGCTTCAATATGATTCATTCTACAGAATCAGCCATCATTTACTATCCATTTTTCCCACTCAGGCTTCATAAACCAAGCAACCTTTCATCTAAGCAACGTATAAAATAACATCATAAACTCTAAAAATACGATAACAATTGCATTGGGCATGTAACTAATCACCAATTTCTGAAGACTTCCTTCTGGAGCAGTCTTATTGGTTTCTGGAGACAATCAATACTTATATTTCCCTTGCCGATGTCAAGAATAAGTTTTTTCTTAGATCAACCTGTGTAACAAAATACTATGTTTCTCTCATTGATATTCCAATTTGCAAAGTTTGGAGACATATGCAAGAACTCCAATTCAAAACCTTCATTTTGCCTAAAAGAGAGAGAGAGGGAGAGAGAGAGAAAGAGAAATCAATACTTTTAATTCACTACAGTTACTCCAACTAAAACTTAGGTTTAAATTTGCTTGTAGCTTAGAGATGATGAATTAAGAGAAGTAACGCCAGTAACAACATTAATACATCATTGATGATGCTTGCTTTTCCCTGCTACAACACAATGCTGCATCTAACTATGTTGCTAAACTCCCTTTTGCTTTCAAGTGTCAAGATGCTATGCAAAATTGTAGAAAACTAACTTCAGTAAAAATAGAAGAAAACAATTTGTAGAGGTATACAGGGCCATGATATAATGTAAAAGAGCAGACTGGTACGACATCAAAATAGTAAAGTCACTAAAAATGTACATTCTGTAGTTTGGAGGTATCTAAAAACAATTAAACTCACTTAAACTTCCAACACTTACACTGAAATATCTTGAGAATGATAATTACATTTCTATTATTAAAATTAATATAATAATAAATGAATAACAGAAAATTTGCATTAAAGCTTACCTCAAAAAGGAAAGATATTAGTTTTTCTTTGTTACAGTAAAAAATAAAAATCCCTTGATATTTCATGGATTTTCAAACCCTAGTATGTGTTCTAATCATTTCTCTGTTAGTGCACATTCAATGCACTTTAAGAAGAACAAAGAAGAATAATTAGATTTCTCTAAATCCCCATTATTTCCATCTAATTTGATACCAGTCCAGTCCAGTCCCAATTGCTGATCATTACATCAAGTTAAAGCTCCATCAAGAACGTCTCTGGGTAATTTGTTCACTTGTAAATGGGATAATCCACTCAGACTCCCATCAATAATTAACAATACAAGAAACAATAGTGCTTTGGGAAGTCCTAGAACAGGTGTCCTCTCTTAAACGTAGCACCTCAAATGCCTGAATAAATACTTCATCATCATGACAATCTTTGCATGTTTATTTTTTTCTCAAAAATATTTGGAAAATAACTGCTTTTTATGTCTGTTTCAGCATAGTATTATCTCTCTCCCTCTCTCTCTCTCTCGTTGTGTATATATATGTGTGCAGGTATATTATAACATGTGCAGTCAAGATACGCTTGCCATGTATGCATGCATGTGTGGCTGCGTGTGGGAACATGAATAATAGAATAATAGTATACATCTTACCTTCAGTACATTCACAGTGTGTAAGCTTTAAAGCAAGTGTGTGTGTGTGTGTGTGTGTGTGTGTGTGTGTGTGTACACATAACAACACATATCTTACCTTCAGTACATTCACAGTGGGAGTCCAGATATGTAATCACTTGTCCCGTGGCCACGGAGGCGCCCAGAAGTCGTGACCTGATCAGACCTTCTCTTTTCTTGGCACGAACAATGCGCACCTTGCCTAGTTTGGCTATGTAGTCTTCTAGAGGCTTCTTCACATGGTCTACGGAGAAACAAGAATATGTTAATTGTTTTCACGGTCTATGCAGAAACAATAAATAATCATAAGTTCTTCACAAGGTCTGCAGAGAAATAATACTATGACTTATCTTTTTACATGGTCTACATAGAACTAATAATATGACTTAGTTTTTCACATGATCTACATTGAAACAATAATATAACTTATTTCTTCTTAGCTCTTTACCTTATCTATGTAAAAACATGGATATATATTATTTTGTTACATAAGCTTAATAGAAACACTTAATTATTTCTTGGAAAGAAATCTAGATAACAACAAAAAGTGTTAAATTCTTTACAGAGTTTTCACAGAAATAGCTTTATCAACATGTTAGGAAGTAGAAAGAAATGCCAGTGATACTCTAGCTTGCCAAAAGAAGCACAACTGAGGATTTTAAACAACAGAATTAAAGCAAATCGTTAGGACACAACTGGTAACATTTCAGGGCTTCTGAGAATTCTGTCAATAAAAATATCAGGTGTCAAAATTATCACAAACATTTCTTCTCCAGTTGATGTTATCTAAATAAACACAAGTATTTTAGTAAAACACATTAGTGCTATACTATCAGCATTAAGAAACTCATCAGACTGAGGAAGGTGCTTCAAGAGCCACTTCTTGGTATCATTCATCACATTAATGGACTACATTTGTTTTTTGCTTAATTACTCTAACTGAAATCTCTTTATACAGAATATCCAGTAGATTTAGCTATAACAGTTCTCAATGATTACCTCCACAAAGAAGTACATGCAAATTCTGATGTGCTCGAATTCACAAGGGCCATGGACAGAATTTCACTGAAAATCACTGGGTTGTGTTTCAAATGCCTATCCCAGAAGATGGTTTTGGTTAAGCTTACGTGAAGCAATATTGTGAAAGAAATTGTGGACAAATTTTGATTAAAAAAATTCTGAAACTGTCAAGAGTCACCCATGTAACAAACAGTAACATGTTGGTGGTAATCCATTAATTAATGAGTTAATTAATATCATCAAAAATTGAACTGTTTTTGTAGGTCTGAGCTCTGCAAGTGCTGACCTATTTTATTATGAAATATGTTGTTTTTTTGTTATACAGTGTCTCTGCCCCCCCCCCTTCCCCCCAAGTTTTTATTGCAGATCTACATCAATCTCAAAAATGATATATTTCACTCCCCAATTGTTGGAAATCTGCCAACAGTTAGAAAAATCTCCTCCTTGTGTGTAAGTCATGAAATAAATCTAGATGTACTAGTAAAAATCTAAATCTACGTCTCATGTTTGAATCAGCTGTATAGCTATGATACCATTCTATACAGGGAGGCCTTGGCTGTAACATAAGATTACATAGAGGTCACTGATATCAGTTGATCCCCAGAAAAGAGGTGCATGGAAAAATACTTTTAAATTCTTTTTCTGCTTTAAATATTTTCAGCAAAATGTGAGCCCCATACCAGAGGACAGTTAGATGGGATATATTCTGGCCTATATATTCCATTACAACCTGGGTTTTCTCACAAGAATGTGCACAGTCAGGGAATGCCTGGCCACCCACTGTGAGCAAGCTACTGGAACACTACAGGAAGGCTTTCCCAGCCACTTCACATGCTACACTGTATCAGTTACAACAATTCTTTTATTTCTTATACAATCAGGATCTAAACCCCACTTTACATCAAGTGGTACATGGATTTTTTTTTTTTTTTTTTTTATTGGACTATTTTGAGATTGGCAACTTAATTAGTAGCCTGGCTGTTATCAGACCCACCCCCAATCTAACCAGACCCCCCCCCTCCACACACACACACACACACACACACACACACACACACAAACACACACACATACACATTTGACGTGGCTAAGGGGTCAAGTCCCTTCTATTGTTTTCAGGTGATTATCTGGGTTCCGTTGTTCATCTTCTTTCTTTCTTCCCCTTCTCTCTCCCTTCCCCTTCTCTCTCTCTGAACACACACTCTGGCTCTCTCTCTGTCTGTCTCTCTCTCCCCTCCCTTTTTCTCTCTCTCTCCCCCTCCCTTTTCTCTCTCTCTCCCCCCTCCTTTCTCTCTCTCTCTCTCTCTCTTTCTCTCTCTGAAAACACACTCTGGCTCTCTCTCAGTTCTCTCTCTCTCTCTCTCTCTCTGTCTCTCTCTCTCCCCTCCCTTTTCTCTCTCTCTCTCCCCCCTCCCTTTCTCTCTCTCTCTCTCTCTCTCTCTCTCTCAGAACACACACACTGGCTCTCTCTCAGTTTATATTCTGGAGGTCAATCTAATAAGCACTCTGTCATCGTGCCAAGGAAAACAAGTAATAAAGAAGTCCTTTGGTGAAACTGTATCCATTCAGAAGTCAGCTCAGTTTAGATCTTGTTTATTTATGCTTCTCCTCTATCACTGAACTAGACAAGGGGGCTCTTAGCTCTGTGGGGATTTACAGTCAAAACCTTTCCACTTAGTTCAGTCCCTCTGGCATCTGAGCCAAGACAATTGGTTGCTTCCTGGTTTTCCTGACCTCAGGTTTGTCTTTCATTGGATGAAAATTACAATTCACTTAAACTGAAAGTTCAAATGAGCCTGGAACTCCTGCATAATCTACATATGCTGCAAATTTGTTATGAATGACTTCAGCAATTCCCTTTTGTATGTGAACAGAACTATTTTTACTGATAATGGTTATCACAATTTAAATTAACTTTTTTTTAAAATATAATAATAAAGATAAGCTACAGGTATACCCTTTCCCCCTCTCCTTACCCCCTCTTAATTGAATGACTGTAAATATATGAATAGCTCAGAGAGCGCAGACATCCACCAAGGCAGCAGTCTCCATCCAATGCTGTTTCACCCCTAAATTTTCGATATTTTTGATAATTGATCCTGATCACCACCAAAAATTAATCATCTGTTCCTAGGCCCACTTCTGACAGTTCCTGAAAATTTCATCACAATTGGTCCATAACTTTTTGAGTTATATTGATGACAGACAGACAAACAAACAAACAAGGGTGAAAACATAACTTCCTTGGTGGAGGTAATTAAGAAAACAACAAATAATTCAATCTTACCCATGTCAGAGAAATCATCCACTAGAATAATTTCTTTTATCAAATGTGCTGGTGATCTGTCTAGGACGCTGTGGACGGTACGCAGCAGGACGCTCCAAGCCTCATTATGAAAACAAATGACAACACTGGTGTCTGGCAGGTGGCTGGCATATTTGAAATCACGGCATCTGAAATGATAGTCAGTCACAAGATATTTCAATTTGTACTTAGTCTAGGAATCTGTATTGAGCAATTGATCATTTGTAGCAAATATAATTTCAAATACAATACAATTTTTTTTTTTTTTTTGTCAAAAGCATTTCAACCGTTTCACTTGGAAATCAATTTGCCAAATGCAGAAATCAACCTTTTCTCCCCCCCACCTTCCTCCAATCCCCACAATCTCTCTACTTCGCTCTTACTCATCTTCTCCTTATCTCATTGCCACTACTACTACTATCCCCCCCACCCCCCACAGGGTACTCACTCTTTATCCCTGACGTCCGGCAGACTCCTGTGTAATGACATCATATCACTGGCGTACTGATTGAAGGCGTTCTTCTGGAACCCTGCATCATATTTCTTCCTCTCTTCTGGGGAGAGATCTTCCTTCTTGATAATCACAGCTTTCCCCATTTCACCTGTAGCCATGACAAGATTCATTTATTTTCTGAGCAAGAAAAGCTGCATTTACACAATACTCAACAGTGAGAATTTATTTCTATTACGCAAAGATGGTGAAAAAGTATATATTTGTTTCAATGAGGCTAATTGTGTTATTTACTGATGAGGCATAACATTTCAACCATCTATCGTACAGCCTTTATCACATCTTACTCACTGTCACCCTTTCATGAAAAATATGTCAAAACTGTCCAACATCCCATAATACCAAACTAGGTACGACACTCCCTTTCACTTACCTGGGGCGTTAGGATTGGGCGTTGTACTGGTTGGAATATGTGGACGAGGTTTTGGCGCCTGCTCATGTTGGACCTGCTTCGCATCTCCTCCATCATTGTTTACAACGCCATCTGGTGCCTGTTCTTCGTTGTACACTTTTTGTTCGTTTTCATGTCTATTGTCACCCTCATCGCCTCCATGAGGGTTATCATGTACAAAGTTCTGTTCTCCCCACTGATCTCTCTTTTCACGCACATTACGCTGATGAAGAGGATTGACGTCCTCGTCAGCGTGTTTCCTGTCCTTCTCCTGATAGGCTAATAGCGCCACTACCAGCAGCCATAATATAGGAACAGCCAAGATGGCCTTGAAAATCAGTCCTCTCCGTCTCCTGAAGAAACTGGCCATGGCTATTGCGGGTCAGGGCGACGGCCAGTAATATGGCGGCTGCAGAATGTGCAGTTTGTGTCACCTGGGGCGATATTCAGCCAGCGTTCTGATCACAGTCACCTGACCTTATCCAAGGTCAGATGGAATTCTGGTTCTTCCTGCCCTGCTCTATCAACAGGGCTTTGGAATCTTTGCAAAATCACGCAAGTTTTAGAGAGATGAAAACATGGCGAGCACCTGATCCTAGTCACGTGTCTGCTTCTAGGTGTGTATTAATTCCCTGGGCTTGTTGACATACAGGCTCCGTACTACAAGTAGTTATAATTCTGATATCTAATTTATGTAACTGGGTCAGTTTGACCTCATTATCAAGTCAATGTGGTCTATAAATAGAATGACTTAAATCTGGTAGAATCCGTCTCTGTGACTTCTTTCTCTACTAATGGCACTAGTCCTAGCTGTAATACAAAATGTCACAGCAGCAGTAATGTTGAAGATGTTCGCTTTTCTGTTCCTAGGATGTCTTTTCCTTCAGTGCAGATATGTCTGAAAATTGAAAGTAATCAACTTTTATGAGGTATAAAATATCACTGTGACATTGTTTCAGGCTTAGAGATTTCCTTTGGCTAGAAGTCATTATAGACTAACAGCTCTAAAATATCTTTATCCCATCCACAGCTGCAGTGAAATGTCATGTCTTGAAAACAGCGATAAAATAACTTAATTTTCAAAAGCCATCAAGATTGGATTTCCTCAGACAGGATTTTCTCACAAATGCCCCAATTTACAAAAATTAACTTTACTTGCAGACATAATCATGTAATTATAATCATTAATATCCACAAATACCAAAATTAATGCTATTTCTAGTATGGAAATTATGTGCTATGTTTGAATAACTCAAATTGCTGTAATTCTGCTACTTCTCTGTAAAAGGAAGTCAGATGTCAACCCATCACAGCAATATGTATCCCACACAAGTTATAATACCTAACACAGCCCTCATTTCCCTGATGAAGTCTGACTGTCAGCAGGTGAAGTATCGGCTGGTAATTATCAGTTACATTTTTTCTTTAGCTATTGACAAATGTAACTTTAGTCAATTCAAACACACACTATAGCAAATGGAACTGTTCAACGATATCCCACACAATATTGCACTCCAGGAATTCACCATGTGTAATAAATTCTGTTTAAGTGAAGTCTGTCCTATTACCAGTCCACATTACATATACCTCACCAGAACATCAACTACAGTACTTTCACCAGTGGTATTATCATATATGGACACTTGTCACTCAGTCATATATATATATATCCTTGTTTGATGGGTCAGGTGATGGTAGGTCCATCTTGGATACTTAGAGAAATGGTGAATTAATTTGATCATCCTATGACATGTGTCTTACCCAAACCAGTCATAGTTTTATTTCCTTGACAGCAATAGACAAATGATGAATCAAAACGCATGTCAAGTGACATAATTCATACCAAACCAGTCTTGGTTTAACTCTGTAGACAGGTATAGTGAATTAATCTGAACATCATGTGACATAATTCATACCAAACCAGTCTCGGTTACAGTCTGTCTTACCACACGTCACATAAAGCTTGTAAGCAGTAGTGATCCTTACGTATCTTGACAACAGCATAAAGTGATTGAAGTTATTATAATTGCTGATGTTTAATGATTCATAATCAGCTCATTAAGCTGGGGAGACAAGTATAATTTTCAGGTTGTTAACATGCCACAAGTTTTCAACATTTGTAAAGTGGGATAATAAATAAATAAATAAATAAATAAATAAATAAATAAATACTAGTAAGGCTCTCCATTTTACAAAAGTTCTACTGAAACTCATCTATTCCACTTCAAACAAAACAATTGATCAAATAAAACCGTGCTGCACTATAAAGCAATTTAAAACATCATATCAAAATCTTTAATGCTAATGAAAAGTCTACATATAATATGATTAAATATTTAAATTATATGTAAATTCTGTAGCTCACCTCACATTACTTATTTCTTTCCTATTTCCACCACTATTCCATACACCAGTATAGATATGTATATATATATATATATGTGTAGTCTCTATGCTAACAGAGTGTCCAGTCATCCAAAATGTCCAGTTCTGATGATGACCTTTGGTCCAAGTGTCCACTGTGTGTCCAGCTGTGGTCATCTGTGTCCACGTCCGGAATGTATGAAGTCAGCGGCGGTCATCAGCTGTGACACAGGTTCTCATACCTCTTGTCTGTGGATAAAGAAGACAAGATGACATTTAGTTAAAAAATGTTGGTGAAACATTCCCACACAGTTCTAGTTGCTAGACTAAGTGAAACGTTCCCATATCTCTAGGAGGCACCTGCACTCAGGAATGTGGTGAAATCACAGAGATTAAACCTGCGACACATACTGAAAGCAAACCTGTCTGCGTCCTGGATGTAAATTACGGACATCATCACTTACAAGACAGGACGACATTCTCTGTCACTTCACATCTACACACAGGTGAAAACCCTGTCATTGTCATTATACACATACCTGAACAAGACATGCTGTAGAGCTAATCACCACACTTAATGAAGACAATTATATGAGATATTAATCCTGCACAACACTGTCCACTTAGTGGTCAGTCTACACTGCAGTGGTCAGTACAGTCACAGGTGGTCAGTTCTATAAAAACTTCCTCCTGGCTTCTCTCTGTGATCAGAATGATCATGCAGGGGGACCAAGATCAAGGTGACCCAGGTGTTTAACTGTCAAGCTTCGCAATATCAAATAATTAACGTTTGGGGCATTTAGTTAAATTTTTCCATTTTTAAGTACAGCAATGCACTAGAAGTTAAACATTATTATTATTATTATTATTATTATTATTATTATCAGGTGCTACTTTCCTACCATCACACCATTAGTAATCACATCTTTTCCATCCTTCAACGTAGGTACACCTGTGACCATCTCTGATAACCACTGAATCACCATCCACATGTAACAAACCATGACTTTTGTTATTTAATAATGGAGACTACTTCCCTCCTAACGACAAGGGGCCTGCGTATATAGTTCCCCACAACGTTATGACTGGGCCACGGTGACTGAGAGACTGGGCCATGCTTCAAGAAAACGAAGCCGTCTCTTCCTGAATTATTGAAGTGTTAAAAATGCTTCCTTGAATACTTGGGATGGGTACCTCCTAGAGAAAACAATTTTGTTTTCAATCCCAACCCCTTAGAAACTTTATCTACATAAAAACATCTCCTATAAATAATTAGTTTTCACATTAGAAGAAACCTTTCACCACAATGCTAATTTTATCCATCTTTTCTGTTTGCATGTCTTCTCTCTCTCTCTCTCTCTCTCTCATCCTTCATGAGTCCTCCCAGACCTGCTTCCTCCACCACCTCTGCAGTAGTAAAACCTTGTCATTTACAAATGAACCCACATCTAACATGCCATCAGAACCATAGAAAACCAATGATTCTTTACAACAAGCCAGCTGTGGCATGGGCAAGAAAACCAATTAGTTGTTGTGGAACATGTAAGTACAGGGATACAATACATCACAAATACAGTCATAGCTGTCAACAGAGTAAGGTTTTTGACAATCAATTTTTCATATTCAGGTGTAACAATGTTATGAGGCACACTACATGATTACTAGTAAAAATAGATAGTTGGAGGTGACAGAAGATACCTAAGGGAGAGGAGGGGAAAATGCCTTCACTGTATAGATCTGCATGTGAAACCCTAAAAAAATGTGAGAGCTTTAAAAGGTCTGGTAAGCACTATGATGTGAACAAATTTCTAACCTTTTACTTCTGAATGGTTATCATTGTTAGATACTCACAAAACAAATGCAATTTCTCACATAAAGCCAATCCATGTTTCAAGATTTTAAAATATTTATAAACATGTAAATTTTATAATTTTCTGCAATTACTATTTTTTTTTAAATTTACTTATTTGTGATGTCTTACGTAAGTTCAGCCTATCTTGGCTAAAAACATGACCACTGCAGGTTTCCAGTGTACTGGGGTCTTCCTCATATCATCTCAGCTTATTTCTGCCAGTGTGTTCTCTGCTCACTGTAGCTCACATTCTTCACAACTCTTATTGCCATTGATCTTCATTTGGCCATAAAAACTGTATTCTTTTTAGCACAGGATATAACAATACTTTGTCAATTAGAAGCAAATGATTGTCAACATCAAAACTTGAACAAATTTTTCTTCTTCTTCTTTTTTTTTTTTTTTTTTTTGGGTGGGGGGGGGAATTCATCATGGATCAATTTATAGGCAAGGACTTGCAGAGTTAGAATTAAAGTCAAGTATGAAATTAACTTTTTAATGGTGCCCAGATATTCCTGGATAAACTCAGTTTTCTTCAGTGCAGTGACTGTGACTTCTGAAACTGGAGCTGCAGTTACTGGAAACTGCACAGGAATGATGACAAGAAGGTACTAGTAGGGAATATCTTTTGTGTTTTGCGTAATTGCTCTTATTTTTCAAGCGTGATGCACTATTTGAGCCCAATATTCTGTGTGAAGCATGATTCAGGAATTCTTGTGATTGGTGATTGGCCTGAATACATCTTGGTGATTGGTGATCAAGCTGTTTTAATCTTGGTGATTGGTGATTAAGGGGGAGGGGGGGGGTAGTATTCCCTACCCTCTGACACTACATATCAGTTTCCAGCTATGACATGTGAATCTTAGGGTGCTTCTACCTCACTCTCCCCAACACACCTGGATACCCAGGGTGTATGTGGATCCACCATCCCAGGGTGCGTGTAAACCACCTGTGACTGAGTGAATTACCAAGAACCAATCAGCATGCAGGCTCGGGTCAATAGACAATAACACCTTCATGGACACAGAACATGTGGCTATCTCTGCCACTAACACAGGTGTTTTCACAGCAACTCTGGAGATGAAGACTGACTGCTGAAGTAGTATTCACAATGGTTTTAACAAAAACAAGTGCCTTAGACAGGGTTCCCTTACCTAGATCAGTTCAACAGGATCGATCCATCTCCAAGGGGTTTCTCACTAAATTGCTTTCAGCTTAATCTGCTTAGATGTCTGGCACGCCTACTAGTACTGAAGCTGCTAAATGATGATTTATTCCCTCCTAGCTAGCAGCTGCAGTAGGCGTAACAGACATCTAATCTGCTTAAGTTGATTGCAACTTACCAAGAATTCCCTAGGAGATAGATCGATCCACAGTTAGTATGCTAGGGTCTGGGAACCATACCTAAGATTTATCTTGTAGAAGCAGGGTGTGTAATAATAGCCCCCAGAAGCCAGTTCTGTCTCTCTGATCTCTCTGTTATCTGGCAGCAGCAGACACAGCACTCAGGGATATAAAGCCTTGGAAGTCCCTGGCAGGGGTTTGCAATCTGCCTTTCCAGAACTCATCACGAAGATGATTTAAAAATAAACCTTCCACAAAATGCTTTAACAATAGCAATTCCCTGGTGACATTTGTCAACAATTGTGATAACTTTATCTTTTTCAGTTCCTTATTTGATCAGCTTAAAGTTGCAAATGCTAAAATATTGTCTGGTAAATGTAGAAATTTAAGTCACTATAGTAACAGACCTGGGGCCCCGTTTCACGAAGCTGGCATTAGTTATTTGTGAAACAGCCCCCCCCCCCCCCTCCCTGGTCTGTGTCACTGGTAACGTAAACTTCTAAGAGACCAAGATAAAGCACATAAAAAAAAAAAAAAATCCCCAAGTGAAGACCACAAATTTAATCCGAATTTTGTTAAATAAAATAAAATTTTGTTAAATAGAATAATTTTGTTAAATAAAATAAAATTTTGTTAAATAGAATACTGCAAGCATATTCCAGGAAATTTATAGTCATAATAGTCCTGTTGATCATGTAAGGTAATCACGTTAATGAAGTCAAATGGTTCAGACACATAACACAAATATCAGAAGTTGTACGGGCGGTCTTATCAATACATCTGCTGAACTGTTATGGCTTTCATGTAATTATTGGAATTAAGGGCCATTAAGGGTGATCCTGAGAGTGATAACAGGACAAGAAATGGCAGCTCACATGTCAGTAATCTGATCTGATCACCAGTGAGCCACGGCGCTGACCCTGAAGTCTCCTAAAACTAACACAAAATTGACACTTCCCAGTAACTGTACATGAGCTTTGAATCAAATAGGAAATGACAAAAGGGAAATATGGCAGGGTAATAAGAATGGGAAATGTAGTGCTACGGACACACTACAACTTTTATGTACTGTAATTACTTGCTATTTTCATACATTTCACTACAATTCTTCTAGAATTTTTTTTTTTTTTAGTTTTTTCACTTTCAGTTATTCATAAGAAATGCTCTCAGACACTTAAAAAATATCTTTTTGAAACTTTTTGAATCAACATTTTAAGAATACACTAGTGACCCTCTGAGTAAATTTTCTGTCACATATCAGTATATATTATTAGACTGTACCAGTTTCTTCAACACAACTCAAATAAAATCCACAGTCATTAAAACATTAATATATCTTTGAGAAGCAGTAGGTGGAAGACGTATGAAGAGGACTTGGCACTGAATGTAGTCAGTGATGTGATATCACACACAGCTTATTGGTAAATTGATGGCAGCCATAAATTATAATGTGCAGCTTTTTCTTCACTGACACAGCCAGAAATGTAGTTCTCTAGCTGTATACACGCAATTCCTTAACTGGGGGAGAAAAGACAAACGGTGCAGTCTTTTCTTTGGCGGCATATCAAAAGCCCCACCTTTTATAATTATGTGTTATGTCACTTTAACCAAGTTCACTTCTTTTCATTCATCAGTTCCCAACCTACGTTCAATAGGGTGACTCCTGTTTTCGCCCACACCAACGCATAATTATAAAACTTAGCAAATAATTTTATTCCTTAAGTCTTGGTTATAACTGTTATTATTGCCCATACAATGTAGTTAGGTCACCAATTAATACACTGTCTAGAATTTGTAAAGATATCAATTTGCCAAGCTGTGTGCCATTAGTCTTAAACAGATATCATGTAATACAACCTCATCTCTCCTACTAGCAGTGAAGAAGTCCACAAACAGAGCAATTTTATTCATAAGGGATAAAGTGAAATGGAGTGCTTGGCGGGAGAGGGGAGGGGGGAGGGGGGGGGAGACGGTGCAGACCATTACGTAGCGCCCTCTTTACTCCCTAGTGCAAATGATGCAAAACACAAATTGTTCAGGTCAATACTCATCTCTGAAAAAAGCCACAGGGATACAAAAATCAATTTGAACAAACATGAGGAATAATGTTAGGTATACGCAGAGAACAAATGGATGCTAAGTTTTCTCAGACTGCCTCATTATCATGCTGGGGTCACACAAATCTCAGTCACATTGCTAGACGACTACAGCTTGTATCCTATTGGACTGGAAATCAGATTGTATGCACCTCATAGAATTTTTAACAACCATGGGATACAAAAAAATCAGCTATGTAGGCTGACCCTTTTAATTTCATCACTTAGCTACCACTACCCTCAAAAATATATGTTTCAACGAACAATCCAATCAATAAAACAACCAATCAAAAATGCAATGGCAATTATGGTAAAAAAGTCATTAAAACAACGTAAACAGAACCTAATCCTGATACAAAACTANAGAACAGATGAAGCAGCATTTGATGATGCCTGGAGAAAGCTGAACGAAAGGTTTGGAGATGAGTTCCTGATACAGAAGTCTTTCAGAGAAAAGCTAGATAAATGGCCAAAGATTCCAGAAAAAGATGGAAATGCACTCAGAGACTACTCAGACTTTCTGAATGCTGTATGTGATGCCATGCCGCACGTCAAGGGACTCACAGTTTTGAACGATTATAGTGAAAACAGGAAAATGGTTAACAAGCTACCACAGTTTGTATCACACAGATGGAATCGTCAAGTGACAAGGTCTATGAAGACTGAAGGCTACCCCTCCTTTCGTGACTTTTGTGCTTTCCTGTCAGAAGAATCAGAAGTGGCTTGCAATCCCATTACCTCTCCATTGGTGAACAAGGTGCATGATACGGTCAGAGCTCTAAATGTTAATGCTGGTGTAGCAGAGNTTATACCGACGTCGGGCCGACGGCGTGAAGCAGTCGTCGGCCCGACGTCGGGTCACCAGTAGTGGCCCGACGCACAGCTGATGAGCCACCGTTATACCGACGTCGGGCCAACGGCGTGAAGCAGTCGTCGGCCCGACGTCGGGTCACTAGTAGTGGCCCGACGTCGGCCCGACAACGACTGCCGACCGCGACCGTGCCGACCAATGCCGACGTCGGCCCGACCGCTCATTGCTATCTGGGGACTTTGGCGCTTTAACGATATCCAAGAAAAGGGAGTTTGTGGTGAAAAAGAATTTGTGCTTTGGATGTTTAGGACAGGGACACAGAAACAGTGACTGCAGAAGAAAACATGTATGTGGTACCTGTAAGGGCAAGCATCCAACCTGCATGCACGAAGAACGGCAGCCACCTACCAGCAGAGAAACCCAAAGCGTAAATTCTCTCAAAGTCAATCAGCATCACCGTCAGAGTAGCACCACCATGATAGTGCCTGTTTGGGTGTCTACACAGGAAAATCCAGAACATGAGGTGTTGACCTATGCACTTTTAGATACACAGAGTGACACTACATTTTTATTAGAAGATACGGCTGCTGCTTTAAATGCTGAAACAGAGCATGCCACACTTAGTTTATCAACAATGTCAAGTCAAAAGTCCCTCATAGACAGCAAGAAAATCAGAAGATTGCGAGTAAGAGGATTCAAGTCTACTGAGACATTGGAGATTGATCAAGCATTCACTAGGGAGTTTATACCAGCTGACAGAACACAAATTCCTACGAGAAAAACTGTATCAGACTGGCAACATCTAAAGCCTCTTTTGAACAAGATTCCTCCCCTACAGACTTGTGATGTGGGTTTACTCATTGGTTTTAATTGTCCACAAGCATTGCTACCTAGAGAGACCCTAGTTGGTGGAAATAGCGAGCCATATGCAGTGCAGACTATACTTGGGTGGAGTATTGTTGGCTGCTCTTCAAGAGATAACTTAGCTTCAGTTTGTCACCGTGTGACGACAAAGGAGGTGTTTCCTTGTATGCCAAGAGACGTTATTAATGCCTTAGAAAAGGATTTTGTTCACGACAAGACCGAAGTTGAGATGTCTCAAGAAGATTTGCAGTTTTTGAGAGTACAAGAAACCAATATACAGCAGTTGGATAATGGTCACATTCAGATGCCATTGCCATTCAGAAGACGACCAGCTCTCCCTGATAACAAGTCCCAGGCACTCCAACGCCTTGATCATCTGAGACGCAAGTTTGAGCGAGATCCAAGTTATCGTGAATCGTACACGAGCATGGTGCAAGGTATTATAGACCGAGGTGAGGCTGAAGAAGCTCCAGATGATACCATTAAAGGAGAAGTATGGTACTTGCCACATCATGGAGTTTATCATCCACAGAAAGGAAAACTTCGTGTGGTATTTGATTGTTCTGCAACTTACAAACAAACCTCACTTAATCAACATTTGCTAAGTGGTCCCGACTTAACAAGTAGCCTTCTAGGAGTTTTGATTAGATTTAGAGAACACCCAGTGGCAGTAGCATGTGATATTGAAAAAATGTTTCATCAATTCCTAGTGCAAGATAACGACAGAAATTACCTGCGATTTCTGTGGTGGAAAAATGGTGACATTACCAAGGAGCCAACGGTATTCAGGATGAAAGTACATCTTTTTGGGGCTACTTCATCGCCTGGTTGTGCCAATTTTGGTTTGAAATATCTTGCTAAAAGTTATGAGAATGAATACCCATTGGCAGCAGAATTTATTAAGCATCACTTCTATGTTGATGATGGTTTGACCAGCTCTGATGACGCAGATACCGCCATTCAGATTATCGATCAGGCAAGGAAATTGTGTGCCAGTGGAGGCATACGATTGCACAAGTTCTTGTCCAATAGCAGGGAGGTATTAGAAACGGTCCCAGAGTCTGAGCGTGCTACAGAGGTGAATGGTGTGGATTTGAATAAAGACAGATTGCCAGTTTCCACTGCATTGGGATTACAGTGGAATGTAGAAGATGATGTTTTTCAGTACAGAGCTTTTACCAGTGAAGTCAAGGCAAAAACACGCAGGGGAGTGCTATCTACAGTGGCATCCGTGTATGATCCTCAAGGCTTTCTATCCCCATTTATTCTTATTGGGAAGCAGATATTGCAACAAATGTGTAAAGAGAATTCTGCATGGGATGAAGAACTTTCCAATGATCTTATGCCACAGTGGGAAAAATGGTCTGAAGAATTGAAGGATATTCAAAATATCAAGGTGGCCCGGTGTTTTATACCAAAGAACTTTGGAACAGTAACGCGAAGAGAACTTCATCATTTCTCTGATGCGAGTTTATCTGGATATGGACAATGTTCTTATATACGACTTGTGAACGAGAAAAACGAAGTACATTGTTCTCTTGTCATGTCAAAGGCCAGAGTAACTCCATTGAAGGTTATCACCCTACCAAGATTGGAGCTCAATGCTGCAGTAGTCTCTCTCAAAATGAGCAAAGTTCTTGAATCTGAGATGACAGAGAAGTACCGTCATTATTTTTGGACAGATTCAAGGATTGTGCTAGGTTACATAAACAATGACACACGCAGATTTAAAATATATGTAGCCAACAGAGTAGAGCTGATCAAAGAAGCAACTTCCCCACAGCAATGGCACTATGTAAGAAGTGAAGACAACCCTGCAGATCACGCATCAAGAGGTTTGTCAGTGGAGAAGTTGAGAGACTCCACCTGGTTTACAGGACCAAGATTTCTTTGGAATCCTGATTTAGAGATGGCTGACATGCCCCACAATGATGTACAGTTACCAGAAATGGACCCAGAGATCAAAATGTCTTCTGTAAGGAGTACACAGACAGTAGAAAAGAAATCCATGATAGAAAGACTCGAGAAATTTTCAGATTGGTCTAGAGCAGTCAGAGCAATTGCAAGGCTCAAAAGAAGAGCAAGAGGTATCAAAAATGCAAGTCTCACTTCAGAAGAGGAAAGGCAAGAAACGACCACATTCTTGATAAAATTAGCTCAAGAACAGAAGTTCGAGGAAAAACCTCCTAGTTCAACATTGAACCCCTTTAAAGACAATAAAGGAGTAATTCGTGTGGGAGGAAGGCTAGGACAATCAAGTTTTGCCTTTTCTGTTCAGCATCCAGTAATATTACCCAAGGATAGCTATGTTTCAAAATTGATTGTATCTCATTTTCATAAACGCATTGGTCATATGGGCCGTGGTATGACTCTAAATGAAGTCAGAGCCAATGGATTTTGGATCCTTGCTGGAGGGAAGTTGACATCTGAAATTATTCACAGATGTGTTACATGCAGGAAAATGAGAAAACCAGTGGAAGAGCAGAAAATGGCAGATTTGCCTTCTGATCGTGTGGAAGCATCATGTCCATTTGAATATAGTGCCATGGATTGCTTTGGTCCTTTCATTGTGAAACAGAATAGGAAGGAGTTCAAACGCTATGGTCTGTTATTTACCTGTTTATGTTCTAGAGCAGTGCATGTTGAAATGCTGGACGACATGTCATCAGATGCGTTTATAAATGCTCTTAGATGTTTCATTTCTATTAGAGGAAAAGTTCGCCAGATCAGATCAGATCAAGGGAGCAATTTTGTAGGTGCAAAGAATGAATTCACAGCTGCATTAAAGGAAATGGATGCTCAGAAGGTAGCTTGTTACCTAGCCAATCAAGATTGTGATTTTCTTATGAATGCACCTCATTCTAGTCATGTTGGTGGAGTATGGGAGCGACAGATTCGTACTATAAGGAATGTATTAGCAGGAGTGATTAATCTCTGCCCAGGTAGATTGGATGATTCATCTTTACGCACACTGTTTTATGAAGCAATGGCAATCGTAAACAGCCGTCCTCTATCAATAGCCAATATCAATGATCCTGAGTGTGCAGAGCCCCTGACACCTAATCACATTCTTACAATGAAATCCAGTGTGCCACTACCACCCCCAGGAAATTTTGTTTCTCAGGACATGTATCTCAGGAAAAGATGGAGAAGAGTTCAGTTTCTCACACAACAGTTCTGGAGCAGATGGAGGAAAGAGTATCTTCAGAATCTTAACAAGAGACAGTGCTGGACAAGATGTAAGAGAAATATCACAGTGGGAGATATTGTTCTTGTTGTGGAACCTAATGTAGCGCGAAACAGTTGGCCACTAGGCAGAGTGGTTGAATGTATTCCCAGCAAGGATAAATTAGTGCGCAAGGCCAAGATTTGTGTAGGAACTGATGACTTAAATTCACTGGGAAAACGCGAAACCAAGCCAGTTATTTTAGAAAGACCAATTCAGAAGTTAGTGCTTTTGATTGAAAGTTGTTAGTACTCTCTGAATGTAATTAGGACTGTAAGTGAGTGAGTTGCTCAATGACTAACTGTTTAAAACTTGTAGTTAAGTTTGAATGTTGACGTTGTGAGTTTTATTGTTTAAGGTAGGATATAGATTTTTTGGATTCATTCTCACTGTTTGAGTTGGTAACTTAGATCATGAATCCTTTAAAAAATGTCATCTCATTTTTTAGTTCTCAGTCTTCACGGTGACTTGGAAAATAGACAAAGCTAGTTTCACAATAGGTCTAGGGCGTGAACGGTGAGTTATGGGTGTAAGAAAGTATGTCAGTGTACTATATTAAGGTGACATGTGGATTTACCTTAAGCAACAAGTTATAAAGGAAATTAAGGTAGAACATATAACCTCTACATGCAGCGGTTAATGTATTGATAGCAAATAGTGTTTATTTTTGTGTTTATCATTTACTCCTTGATCTTTGGATCCAGTTTTACAATATTTTATTTGTCTTTAACATATTTGCTTTGCATCAGTTGCTTTTCTTATAAGTCTCATTTAACAAGACCCTTGTCTCAAGTTACTGTATTGGAACGCCCAATTCAAATTGGTATTACTTTTAGCAAGACAGTAATTTGTATTAAGATAAATTGCTTTTAGAAAGTTATGTACACTGGAAATAATTTTCCTTAAGATATTAATGTACATTTAATTTAATGTTTCAGGTAGTGTGCAGGTCATGCACTCTTTATGTTGTTAAAAATCTTAGATAGATTTTGGGGGGTNAGAGAGTTTATACCAGCTGACAGAACACAAATTCCTACGAGAAAAACTGTAACAGACTGGCAACATCTAAAGCCTCTTTTGAACAAGATTCCTCCCCTACAGACTTGTGATGTGGGTTTACTCATAGGTTTTAATTGTCCACGAGCACTGCTACCCAGAGATACCCTAGTTGGTGGAAATAGTGAGCCATATGCAGTGCAGACTATACTTGGGTGGAGTATTGTTGGTTGCTCTTCAAGAGATAACTTAGCTTCAGTTTGTCACCGTGTGACGACAAAGGAGGTGTTTCCTTGTATGCCAAGAGATGTTATTAATGCCTTAGAAAGGGATTTTGTTCATGACAAGGCCGAAGTTGAGATGTCTCAAGAAGATTTGCAGTTTTTGAGAGAACAAGAAACCAATATACAGCAGTTGGATAATGGTCACATTCAGATGCCATTGCCATTCAGAAGACGACCAGCTCTCCCTGATAACAAGTCCCAGGCACTCCAACGCCTTGATCATCTGAGACGCAAGTTTGAGCGAGATCCAAGTTATCGTGAATCGTACACGAGCATGGTGCAAGGTATTATAGACCGAGGTGAGGCTGAAGAAGCTCCAGATGATACCACTAAAGGAGAAGTATGGTACTTGTCACATCATGGAGTTTATCATCCACAGAAAGGAAAACTTCGTGTGGTATTTGATTGTTCTGCAACTTACAAACAAACCTCACTTAATCAACATTTACTAAGTGGTCCCGACTTAACAAGTAGCCTTCTAGGAGTTTTGATTAGATTTAGAGAACATCCAGTGGCAGTAGCATGTGATATTGAAAAAATGTTTCATCAATTCCTTGTCCAAGATAACGATAGAAATTACCTGCGATTTCTGTGGTGGACAAATGGTGACATTACCAAGGAGCCAACGGTATTCAGGATGAAAGTACATCTTTTTGGGGCTACTTCATCGCCTGGTTGTGCCAATTTTGGTTTGAAATATCTTGCTAAAAGTTATGAGAATGAATACCCATGAATGAATGAATATGTTGATGATGGTTTGACCAGCTCTGATGACGCAGATACCGCCATTCAGATTATCGATCAGGCAAGGAAATTGTGTGCCAGTGGAGGCATACGATTGCACAAGTTCTTGTCCGATAGCAGGGAGGTATTGGAAACAGTCCCAGAGTCTGAGCGTGCTACAGAGGTGAATGGTGTGGATTTGAATAAAGACAGATTGCCAGTTTCCACTGCATTGGGATTACAGTGGAATGTAGAAGATGATGTTTTTCAGTACAGAGCTTTTACCAGTGAAGTCAAGGCAAAAACACGCAGGGGAGTGCTATCTACAGTGGCATCCGTGTATGATCCCCAAGGCTTTCTATCCCCATTTGTTCTTATTGGAAAGCAGATATTGCAACAAATGTGTAAAGAGAATTCTGCATGGGATGAAGAACTTTCCAATGATCTTATGCCACATTGGGAAAAATGGTCTGAAGAATTGAAGGATATTCAAAATATCAAGGTAGCCCGGTGTTTTATACCAAAGAACTTTGGAACAGTAACGCGAAGAGAACTTCATCATTTCTCTGATGCGAGTTTATCTGGATATGGACAATGTTCTTATATACGACTTGTGAACGAGAAAAACGAAGTACATTGTTCTCTTGTCATGTCAAAGGCCAGAGTAACTCCATTGAAGGTTATCACCCTACCAAGATTGGAGCTCAATGCTGCAGTAGTCTCTCTCAAAATGAGCAAAGTTCTTGAATCTGAGATGACAGAGAAGTACCGTCATTATTTTTGGACAGATTCAAAAATTGTGCTAGGTTACATAAACAATGACACACGCAGATTTAAAATATATGTAGCCAACAGAGTAGAGCTGATCAGAGAAGCAACTTCCCCACAGCAATGGCACTATGTAAGAAGTGAAGACAACCCTGCAGATCACGCATCAAGAGGTTTATCAGTGGAGAAGTTGAGAGACTCCACCTGGTTTACAGGACCAAGATTTCTTTGGAATCCTGATTTAGAGATGGCTGACATGCCCCATAATGATGTACAGTTACCAGAAATGGACCCAGAGATCAAAACGGCTACTGTGAGGAGTACACAGACAGTAGTAGGGAAGTCCATGATAGAAAGACTGGAGAAATTTTCTGACTGGTCTACAGCAGTCAGGGCAATTGCAAGGCTCAAAAGAAGAGCAAGAGGCATCAAAAAATGCAAGTCTCACTACAGAAGAGGAAAGGCAAGAAACGACCGCATTCTTGATAAAATTAGCTCAAGAACAGAAGTTCGAGGAAAAACCTCCTAGTTCAACATTGAACCCCTTTAAAGACAATAAAGGAGTAATTCGTGCGGCAGGAAGGCTAGGACAATCAAGTTTTGCCTTTTCTGTTCAGCATCCAGTAATATTACCCAAGGATAGCTATGTTTCAAAATTGATTGTATCTCATTTTCATAAACGCATTGGTCATATGGGCCGTGGTATGACTCTTAATGAAGTCAGAGTCAATGGATTTTGGATCCTTGCTGGAGGGAAGTTGACATCTGAAATTATTCACAGATGTGTTACATGCAGGAAAATAAGAAAACCAGTGGAAGAGCAGAAAATGGCAGATTTGCCTTCTGATCGTGTGGAAGCATCATCTCCATTTGAATATAGTGCCATGGATTGCTTTGGTCCTTTCATTGTGAAACAGAATAGGAAGGAGTTCAAACGCTATGGTCTGTTATTTACCTGTTTATGTTCTAGAGCAGTGCATGTTGAAATGCTGGACGACATGTCATCAGATGCGTTTATAAATGCTCTTAGATGTTTCATTTCTATTAGAGGAAAAGTTCGCCAGATCAGATCAGATCAAGGGAGCAATTTTGTAGGTGCAAAGAATGAATTCACAGCTGCATTAAAGGAAATGGATGCTCAGAAGGTAGCTTGTTACCTAGTCNGTGACTTGGTGGCGGAGCCGCAGGAGCCGGCGGAGCCGGCGGAACATACGGGTCGGGACTAAAACCATGTGTACCGCCAGCGCCTACGCTGGTGGTACAATAAAACTGGCTGCTTCATCAAGTCAATATCATAACTGTCCAATAATATTTCATTTTTACTTAATTTCATTCAGACACAATAAATCATAGACCCCATTTCCAGAGATTAGATCGATCTACTTTCGATCGACCTAACTCCCTGGGGGTTCACGCTAAATAGCTGTCAGCCGAGCAGCAGCGAAAGTTAATTACCCCCTTACAGCTTGTAGTAGGCGGGACGGACATTTAAGCCGGGTTATCTGACAGTAATCTAGTGAGACTCCCCACAGGGATAGATCAATCTAAATGTCTGGGAATACGCCCATAGTGAGGAATTATTGGCACTCAGAAGACTAAGTTTTATGCTCTATTTAACTAAGATAAATACAGACACGAGCACGGGTTTAGAAAAGAAAAAAAAAAAGGAACATTTATTGTGAAACCCAAAACCTTAAGTTTTTTGGGGGGTTTACCTGCCCCGGAGTCATGAGAAACAATAAAAGCAGAATTCCCTAATTCCGTGGCAAAAGCTCATGTCTGTATATACCTCCCAGTACCATGTATACCTCACACTTTCTGGGCGCCTCTCGCGGGGTGAAGCCATCTGCCATTCCACCTACTGCTACTCTTCCCTCTTCAGCACTATCTGTACCCTAACACTGCCACATCAAACATCAGCTGGCTTCCACAGAAATCACTCATTATTGCCCTGATGTTATTACCTAGAACCATGTTCCAGTAACAGAGAGAGCAGTCGTAGCCAAAGCTTTTATTGATTCTGATGAAATCTGCCGGGAACATCTCCACCAATCAGGAAAAAGCCGTTGGCTGTCAGTTAATAGCTGCGATGATGGTAATTACTACAAATACTATTATATACATATGATTTTGATGGGAAATCCATAGCCGCCGTTTTCTTTCAGCGCTGCAATAAAGCATTTAGTACTGTGAAGTGCATCTTGGTCAGTCCTTGTCTTGTCATCAGCCAAACTTTGGTGATTTTCTGATCTCCATCAACAGTTAATAATTGTAGCTGTCAGTCATCACTTCTTCATGCAAATCAAAACCATGGACATTTTTTTGCTTATCACTGTGAAAATGACAGGTGAGAGCAGATAGCACCATCCAAGCTGTGACATCTCAAACTGTCTTAGACACCTATCTAACAAGTCACTTGGAGAGTCATACCCCCCCCCCCCCCACGCCATCTCCCAGGTACCATAAGTCTTATTTGAAATGAGGAAATCGCTGCATCATGTTGGAGTAACCTAAGATTTATAACCAACTAATGTTACACTAACTGAAGTCATGAATCATGTTCAAATATCCAGAAATGTGCTTGGATGGCAAATGACTTTGTAATCGGAGCTCAAATCAGCCGACATCTGCCTAATTACTGGAAATGGATGGTGCTGGGGAAAGCTCTGAATTCTACAGCTCCATAACAGCTGTCATTTACTTTCCCCGGTGAACAGTATAGCTGTTACAATATCTAGGGTAATGGCTGGAGCATTTTCACCAGGAAAGTTGTGATTTTTNGTTAGCCCCCCCCCCCCCAAAAAAAACGAAAAAAAAAAAAAATTAAAAAAAAAAAAAAAAAAAAAAAAAAAACCTTAAATGATTCCAAAATTATGTATATCTGAAAAATTGATAATTTATCCTGGTTGAAATAATTGAGCCACTACCGCAAGCAAACACATCCTGGCTGAGATGGAACTTAATGCGTGTTTACACTGAAGATAAGTCAACACTTTTTAAGGTAAATGTTTCCCTGTTGGATGTTTCCTAGTTAACTGAACTGAGTTCACCTTAGCCTAGCCTCTGATATATCAGTGGTCTAAGTTTTACTTTTAAAAATTATTTTGGCCTTTATTGTACTTAATTATCATTACTCCATCCTCTTTTACACTAACTTTCAGATGCCTGTGAAAAAATTTATTTTAATTCATTTATTTTAATTTATCCTTTTTATCTCATTAAGTTCTGTTCGCATATATCCTATATTATACTTGTATATCATTATTTTAATTTATAAATTCTATTCTCATTCTATTTTATGTATAACTTCAACCTTTTGGTTGCCATGTTTTAATAAACTTATTTACATTTACATTACATTTACTCTTAGAGCACATTCAGAACAGTGGACTAACAAATCCACGGATCAAATATGGCAACCCATTTAAAAAGCTTGCTGCTTAATTCGGGATTAGACACTGAATAGATTTCCTGCCGGGTTTACGCAACAAGCATTCAAGTGGGTCGGCCATATTTGATCCGCAGATCTGTTTGTCCTCTGTTCTGAATCGGGCCTTAAATAGTATACAAAATAAAGGTATGAGCCCCTATGGGGAAAGAATCAATCTGACTGTCTGCTGTTATGTAACTACCCTGCCCCTACCTGCCCCTCACAGCTGCTGAAAGGGTGATTCAGGAGCAGAGGAGGAAAACTTGGGGTTGGGTTAAGTCAATCATCCAAACACACAATGTAGAAAATCTTAGCCCTATCTCTGGTTTTAATCTTAGTCAATGTCCTATTATGATTTTGCTGATAAATAAATAAATAAATTTATTAATAAAAGAGACCATAATTTCCCTGAAAAGCTCTTCCTCAGGTAGTAATGATATTAAAGTGTTGCTACCAATCTTCAAAGGAAATCACAATTTGTAATCTGCAACAAAACCAGATGAGTACACTGACAAATGATGCCCAAACTGGAGGTAGGGGTATTCAGGTCCATTAATAAAAATAATGAAATTCTGTCTTTTTTCCCTTTGTAATTGACACCACGGTTTTCTCATCACAACTCTGTTGTGAGAAAAATGACAGCAGCAAAGAATGATCACGTCAGGCAAATTAACTGATTATTTCAGAATATGTTTCAGAGAAAACAGCTACAATACCTTGTAATTGTACTCATTCCTAGAAATGCGTTCTCCGTTCCCAGCATCAGGCTTCTTGTGTGTTGATGTGCTTTCAAATGTTAGGAAGAACTCATCGCATTCAGGGTTTCTATTACTGCATCTTTGTTAAAAATAACTCTCTATTTTCTTACACAATTCAATGTTTCCACACAATGTGTCACATTTCCTAGAAGATGAATTCTAGGGAAAACACTTGTCTGTCTGTCTTGGTTTTCATTTAAACCAGGCAGCCACTGATTCCAGTGAACATTATCTACATATCAAAGTGCAGTCAAAAACACAAATCACTGACCCCTAAATGGAATATCCACGTTACTCAGCTTTTATTCTTCAAAACTGTCTAAATCTTCCTGAATTTAAGACAAAAACATCCACAAATACACTTGCTCTACCAATCCTCTTTGGTCCAGACTTGGCCGCTACCATTCTCAATGGATGGCTAGCTACACATGAAATGCATTTTTAAACACACCATTTGGCAAGAAAATATCATGAAGTTCTATGGCCATTCTATCCCAAACCTTTACATGTCCCTATTGGGCGTATTTATAGTAAGGCTGGGCAGATCAAACTTGGCACAGGTCATCTTGAGGGGCAGATTACAAGTTCTAAACACAGGAAGTCATAGGGCCTGTTAACAACCAGTTCATCCAGGGACTAACTAATCTGTAGGTCAAACATGGTGTGATCTTGACAATGAATGGTTAAGTGTGGATCAAAGAGGATAGGAAGAGCAAGTGTGTTTGTTTAACCACTCATGTCATCATTGCAGAGCAGTTAAATATCGACACGCTTTCAAGTGGGTTGCCACATATTTGATCCCCAGACTAGTTAGTTCGTGGCTCAGCCAGTTGTGAACAGGCCCATAATGGACCTCGGGTTCACCTAGGACCAAACAGCACTTGTAGAGAGCGGTGTTTTAACACTGAATTCTGGCACAAGATGCACTACAGTGACTACACAACAGTAAAAGTATACGTAGCTGCCTCATTGATGCCAAACTGACAGAAGATTGGAGAGCGGCATTACTTTAAAATACTATAATCAAACATTAAGCCACCTTCTGGCTATTTTCCTTTCTTTCTTTATTTCTTTCTTTCTTTTTTTTCAATAAATAAAGCTTAAAAGGCCAACTTCCAGTCCAGATAAAACTGTTTATCATAGTCCCAGTAATAGATGAAGAGGATGACCTCAGGAGACAAGTGATGGAGGAAAGCAAGTTATATATTGAGCAAAAATTCTAAACCTGATAAAATGCATGATGTTTCAACCTTACACTTTCTTTAGACACAATTCATAGAATGACAGATATATGGTTTACCACCAAAGCACAAGAGGCAACCAAAGACCTTTTTGTTTTGCCCAGGGAAAATAGCAACTGACCTTTCAATGTGAGGAAGATGATTTTACAGAAATACAAGTACACAAATACAGGCTATGGGTAGGTGTTTTTAATTTTCCAGCCATACCTGAAGCCATCATATTTTTCTTTTTTCATCATCATCATTATCATCATCATTATTATTATTAGCAGTATTATTATCTAGTTTTTATTTGTGTGAGCATGCATGCTGGCATGCGTGTGCGAATCTTTTTTAAACCTGATGACAAAAGATCCCGAGAGTTTTTCTGTCTTTGTCAGTATCATACTCCTTCAGCACATCATCAGCACATATAGCCTCACTTAGACGAGTACAATTTTATCATTAAAGATGCATTAGTGTGCTCTGTTAGGCCATTAGTAGACAACTATTCTTCAAACTTCTCATCACTCTTCATGCACCTCCAATTTCCCCGGGTCAACTGTAGTTCTTGTTTTACCCTGTACTATCTCTTCACACACATATGCTGTCTTTCCACTAGATTTAGAATTTTCTAATTATTTAAGCCTAAGAGAAAAAGCAGAATAAATACATGCACAAGTCTAGAGTTCAAAGAGTTGAAAATGCCATTAACAAATACAATAAATTAGAATTATATTTAATATGTATACAGAGGTACATACCGCAAAAAGTTTTACAGCTTTATGCAAGACATTCCATCCACAGATATGACCACGCTTCTATATCACTATTAAATACTTTGTTGAGTCAACATCAAGGTACATTTATTTTATGTCAGAGGATCATGATTATAATGGCATGACACCTGAGGGCCTCTAAAATCAGCTGGATACTATTATATCAGCCTGCTTGCGGCCCTTTCTGAGGGTCATTGAAAGCACAACAGGGTCACAGGTAAATTATTTCACATTTTTTAATAAAAAAACTTAAAAACATAACTTAATATGTTGCAATTAAGACACAACAGAAAGAGACACCAGTTCTGTTAGCGTACTGTTCCCATTTCCATGCACACGCTTAGCCATTTATTTGATATATATATGTAATTATAAAGAGTCAAGACCTCGGGGCACTGCCACACATCCAGTAGCTAACCAGGAGGTGCGACAGGAAACAGCCATACTGCAGTAACTGGTGGAGATGTTCTATGGGACACTTTTTACCAATACCAAGGAAACCTGGACTATTTTAATATATATGTATACTGAAAAGTAAAAATAATAATCTCATGTCTACTGAACTCATTCAAAACACCATCATCTTTTCATTTATATGAAAACGAGTATGGGACTATGAATTGAGGGGGAAGGACTGTACGCATATTCACTTCTATACACTTATTTCAATTCACATGGGTAAACTACTATTACTTGGGAAAGCCATTCAACTGAGCTGACATTATATCCCATATTTTGTAATTAACTTCCAATAAAACATGTTAATTGTGTCGTGACGGTCCAACTTCTCTCGTACCTCTCAATCTCAGAGTGTACGATTAGATGTGTGCATGGCGCCTGGCAAGTTCACTTAACTGATACAATGTATCAACCTAACAGACAGGAGAAAATTACATCACAACAAGCGGTTTCATTTGAATGACTTCACTTAGTCATTAAGTACAGTACAGCTTATATACTTGCACATCCTATATGGCAACAGAGGCAGTTTTCAGAAGAATGCATACTTACTGGTATATGAAACAATATTCTTGGCAAAAAGTCACTGTTAGATGCATTTCTAAGACTATCATTGTCATTTATAGTTCCAAAATGAAAATGCCTGATTGAAAAGAAAGTTCTAAGAATTAGCTTCTGTCTTCAGTTTTTTTTTTTTTTTCTTTTTTCTAACAGATTTTAA